GCCTGGTGGTATATAACGTCGTCGGATTTTGTCTGCTGCAGAGCCGGGTGGTATCGATGGACCGCCACAGTCCAACCGATAGCCTCCCGAGGCTATCCTCGAGAGTTATGATGCCGTTTCGCCGATGCATCTTTCAAATCAAAGCGTGGTATGTAACGATGATCAATTGAGTAAGAGGATGTGTAACTGACATTCCCTGTTATGATTGCAATCAGTGATGGTTCTACCAGTGGTGTCTGCCTGTAGGCCATAATACTCAGTGTTCTTCCAAAAGAGTATAGTTGTGGTAGGTCGAGAGTGATTACGTTTCTCAGTCAAATATGTTGCACAACGTAGAATCTCATGAGGCCGATGCGGGACTACCTCGTGTGCACACTGTTATGTGTATCTCTTGAAGGTCTATTCGAACGGCCGGGGCGGCTATGCCATATGCCTCAGTCGGATCAATTCCTCCAAGGGGGGCGGCTATGCCATATGCCTCAGTCGGATCAATTCCTCCAAGGGGGGGCGGCTATACCATATGCCTCAGTCGGATCGATTCCTCCAAGGGGGGCGGCTATGCCACCACCACAATCTACGCCTCGGTCCAACACGCTGCGCTGTTGAAAATGTTATCGTCGTGCGATGCCTATGGCTGGCCAACATCGAGATTCGATGAACATCAATAGGCTGAGAACTGGGAACTGGTTGATACGAAAGGCTGCCAGCGAGCATCCCACAGAAGGATTTCTTAGTGCATTATGTCCTTTCAATACGGTAGATGGAGTGCCTGTAGGCGCGGGAGTGTGGGACACTCTTTGGTCTTGTGACGCCTAGTCAATGAAGATGGCAGGGAGGCTTGTGCCACCCCCACACATACTCGGACATAGTTGTCTTCTCATCATACGAAGTTCGCTGATATTCTCTGATGGCGTTTCGAACGACTCGACGCGTCAATCGAGAGCAACCGCGTGGCGACACTGTATCAAATGCATTGTCCCATTTCTCACTATTCCAGCATCGTGCTCAATTAGACTACATATCGGTGTCACATGGAGAAGGAACAACTCGCTGAAAACAACAACCATCGCTTTACTGAAATTGTTCGATAGTTCATTCACGATGATTCTTTTTGCTTTTCTTGACCATTTCCTCTGCCTTTTTGCTATCCCCAGCAGGTTTCTCGTTTTGGATGGCACAAAGAAAGGCCGTCCATGGCACATTGATAATCAGCATCGCCAGAAGTCTCAGATGTTTTGGTATGTAGTACATATTCACGTACCTAACATCAAAACCCTCCCCATCAGTAGATTCTCGTTTGAACACATCGGAGAAGAGAGATGACGCAATTCAACACGAAGTAAATCCGACGCAGTAAAATCACGAACGCCTACTGCATCATCGGCCAGAAGCAGTAGTTAGCCTTCAATGCTGGGCCCAAGTTGGACTGCACTGCTTTGACACTCGCTGCAACGGATTTACCCGCAGCCAGGGACTGAGCGCATGAACAACGACGTACTGATTTCCCACACAAGCTTGGCGTAGTAGCCTACTTGTATGAAGAAAAATGTCGATAAGAATGTCCAACACCATAGAGTCTGGTCCACGAGAACCTTATGAGCAGTAGTGGGGAGGTACTCACCCCATGATGGAAGGAGTACATCATACCAGAAGTAGGTCATCGGACCTAACACACAGTGAGGTACATAAGAAGCACACCGTACGATTTCGAGGCGAGGGCAAAAGCGACAGTCTCAGGAAAACCCAAAAGCCCCCTTGGAGTGATTCTCTACTACCAAACACGACGAGCTGACACAGAGCTACACGGATGCATCGTCGCTTGTCTATCGTACGGGCACCTGAGAATCACATTCCTAACCAATAACCACTGTTGTAGATTTTTTGCGAACGTGATGTATCACACCTGTAATGAACTGTGCAAGTATATCAGCGATGATTATGAGAATGGGGCCCTGTATACATTGGACCTGAGGGATGCACTCTGATAAAGAGCCATGGACCGGCATCAAACGTGAACAACATCCGAAGATACGCATAAGGGGAGCTAGACTCGATCGTTCACATATCAGTGTTGCCTCCATCTGGCCACACTCTAATGATAATTAAAATAATACCCAAACTCATAATAGCTATAATTTGGGAGCCGTTTTCCTGAGTTTGCTCCAAGAAGGAGGTGCGATCGAATGCGGTACCCTCCTTGCGGAATCCATCACATATTTCGCGTACCCAATGGGTCTCATTTGAGCCATTTCCCTCCAGTGCTTACCGTCAGTGGCATGGCCTCGCTAGCCTCTCTATATTGTTCGAGAAGACGACTGAAACCAGGCTCAGTATTACTGCCCATTTGAAAATTTTCTACCACGGAGTACCCCTATGGGCTCATACAGTTATCAGCAATTTTTCGCGGGACAGTGCATGTTCAACCGTGGATATGAGCCATACCAGTCCAACCCGAACGCGACGATAATCGTGAACCTAGAAACAACGCGAGCGTTGCAGTATTCATATGACGCAGCAGAGGACGTTCTAGAACAATCTTATACCGAATCAATTGAAGTACTTCTTCACTAACGTCACAAATTATAGTAATGACTGAATCACCACGTGTATGTCATAGATCAGTTAACTCACAGCGAAAGTCACTCGCTGGAATAATCAGAAGCCCTTACAGAGGAAGGGCTATATAATCGTTATCGAGAATTGCTTGGACCATACGACGCGGCATCACAGAATATGATACCGCTACGTTTAGTAGTAATGGCCTGCTAATGGGATGAAAGAGGGAGAAGACAATTAACTCTGGCCAGCACTGCTGCATTAGCCAGACTACAGCGAGCTTCTCAGAGTTCGCAGCAATACAAAATACAGTATCAGAAGACGAAGTGGAAGAGGAATGGTAGAGCCCAAAAGGAGTGCAGTTAGAATGCGCCCGGCGAGGTCTGTGTATGACGTATCGTCATGATGAGTGCTGCGCCTCAGGGAGGACTTTCATGGAATCAACAGTAAGGATATCATCGCTTTGCTGTCGGCCATGCAGAGAGCCACTGCCAACCAAATGCTCTGCAGTGGCCATCAGATCTACTAATTTCCTCTTGTCACCGTCGTTGTAAGCCACAGCAGCTTCCTCATAGAGTTCACTGAGGAGTGCCAAGTTACGCGCCCGACGAATGTCCGCGGCCGATGCCTTATCGAGACTCATATTCTGAATCATCTCAGCAGACACCTCATTAAGATGCCGTCGTTGGTTCTCCAGCAAAGAAGGATCTTCACCGTCGAGGATCGGCAAGGGAGCGCAGTCTCCACACGGCGGGGGCGGCGTGAGACCGGTGGCGTTTGTCATTATCGTCGGTTTATCGCAATGCATTGGCGAAAAGCGCGCACAAACAATTGAGAATAGATACAAACTGTGGAATCGTGTCTCAGAACAAAACTTACACAATCTTCATCGAGAATCTCGGCTGTTTTTCGGTGCGTGAAGAACATCGTTACTGAGAATTTATCGCTCCGACGTTTTGACACGTAATCGTTCGATATCACAAACCTTTTGAACACGAGCTTGCTGCGTGACGACGAGTAGCGTGTTCCTTTGGCACACACTGACCGACTTGTTCACGGGACTGCGGGCTACAGGCGCCCCCTACCGCCTTAGTTGGCTTCATTCGTAAGAAAAAGCACCTAGTTAGCGCCCCCAACATCCGTATGGCAAACCTGTGACGAAAGTTAGGTGGATAGCTGTTGGAAAGACGCTCTTTCCATCGGTGTGCTGCAATGAACCGGAAGATTAATACTTGAGGTACTTACTGAGTAAAAACTGGTATTTCCCCCCGATTTTTATGCCGTGTTGAACTCTGGTGTATCTCGGGATGGTGGCATAGCCGCCCCGCTGGTCACCAACTCCTCAAAGCTGCTCATGTTGATCGAGCCATGGAATGGAGAAGGGAGGTTGGGGCAGGAGGAGGTTCCCCACTGCTCTAAATCTGTGGAGGGTATCTTTCACAGATCCACGATCCACTTCTACAGGTCAAATATGTATCATATCCAATTATATGCAAACTC